ACCTGCTTGACCAATTATCCTTCCTCTAACAAATCTGACAATTCGAGAGAACCTTGAGTTCTAGACATGTTGTAGCACAAGATAATTAGTGTGCGGACCATTTTCATTTATATAGTGCTCTGTGAACACCAATTACTTAGCATAAATCAGTTAAATGACGAAAAATTAGGTGTCTATTTACTTGTGACCACTCAGTGTACATTTAACCATGTTTCAGTTATTTCAATTATATCAAAATCCTCCATTCTTGCTAGTACTCTAAAGTCATCTATTCTATTTCTTATACTTCTAGCATTACAATAGTAACAATTAAGCCTATCCTTAGAACTACTTCTATACTCATTTCCTATGCTAAATTTTTCTCTGCATCTTTTTTCTTGCATTTAGTTTATTCTGGCCCTCATCAATGTCTAGTCCTTGTTTAAAACTTCCCTTACAGCTGAGTTAATAGCCTTTTCAAACAAGTCAGACAAAACTCTACTTAAATGTAAATCATTCATTACAAAAAACACCCTTTTCCCATTGAACTGATCCCAATAGTCCAAGCAGCCAATCTGCTCATCCTTACATATTAACCTAAGCCTAGCATTTAATTCCTAGTAACCCACTTACAGTTTCATCCCCACAATGAATTCTCGGTAGCATTCCTGACACAATTAATTATGGCTTTTTTCTTTAAATGCCTTTATCAGTCCCTTGTACTTATGAATTAGCTCCTCTGACCTACCTTTCCCTACATCATAACAGAACTGCATCGTTGCTAGCTCATTTATTACAAGATAAATAAAACATTTTGAATTTAAAAACCTGCAAATAGGGATCGTAAAAAAAAGTAAGGGAACAGAGCTGGAGATGCTGTAGGCATTATTTACTCAAACTACAAATCCTTATTTTGGCTCCATGCTGTTACCTAGAATTACATTTGGTGGAATCAAAATCGGGGTTTTTAGTTTGAATAAATAATGCCTACAGTATCTCCAGCTTTGTTTCCTTACTTTTTTACGAACCCTATTAGCAGGTTTTTAAATTCCGAATTTTTTTATTTATCTTCTTTGCTGGCTTTTTTTATGCTAAACTATGGGCAAAAGATTACTTGATATGATAGCTTACTTTATACATTGATAATAAGTACAGCTAATAGCTAGCTGATACGGTTCATGATGATTTACTGTAGTTATTGGCTATTTGATTGCATTAGTTCGAAATGTAGAATGTTAAGCTGCAGATTTGGAGATTTTTTTGAGAATATAGCGAGCATTTATAGTTTTGTGTAACTAAATTCTCTATATATAATGCATAGCAATGGGAAAATATATGCATAGACTAAGACACAACCCCCACTGAGCGCCTATAAACTTTTACCAGTTGAAAAGCAGCCTCTTCAAGTAAAACATATACGTGTAAAACGTCACTATAATAAACCTTCGTGTCTTTTTAAGTAATTAATCTACGAATGTGTGTAATAAAATTTAATATTATGTGTACTGATTTGTTTACTTCTTCACTTCATACATAATATAAGGGTTGGCTCTCTAAAGGCACCGATTGTATAGTGTACAAAACATTGAGTATCTACATGTTACAGTCATTTATTATTGGCTGGTAATTCCTGTTTCATCCTGTACTTAAGCTTTTTAATTAAAGGAACACCAGATATTCGTAAGAAAGCTAATTTCAAGAGGTAATGATAACATCGCTTACACTAGAATTATGATGTTTTTAGCTTATGTAAAGTATAGAAGAAAGAAATCGAGTTTTCAATACCACAACGACGTTCGCAGTACCTTATTTAGTATCCTACAAAAGGTTTGGGTGCAATAAACCAAGCCGTTTTTGTTGTAGGCAGTCAATAGTAAAGGTTTTAAAGCTTTGTTTGAACTCAATATTTACTGTTTAAATTCCTTGTGATATCTATTATGAACTATTATCGTGGTTTATGATATATCTTGCTCTGTCAATTATATTTTTCACCTGTGCCCTTGGATAACACAGTCTAATTCTTTTCTCCCTATTTAACCCACCGACTATCCTATCCACATGCCTTGTCAAAGAATCACCTATAACTATAACCTCCTTAATTTTATCATTCACATCCTTCTTTGTCCTTTTAGTTTTCCTTCCCTCCAATAGTTCATAATCTGCTCAAGCCAAGGGCTGAAATCTGTGGCTCAATAGAACATACTCATTACAGTTAAATTCACTACTTTTAGCTCTAATAGTACTGTTTCTAACTTCCTGAAAGTCATTGTTAGCTGATGTATTCCTTCCATGTAAAAGCTTAAGCTCCGCTTAAAATCCTGCTGCTATATCCCATAGTCTACAGTTCTCTTTATCTGTTGCCTCTACTTTAATTATGATAGTTTCCAACTCCTCCTCCAACCTACAAACAAATTGCACATCTTCATTACTAGTACAAGCTTACGTAAAAGTACATACCAGTCCCGAGTTCCAAATAAAACCCACTAGTTGCACCAATTACATCAAACAAACTGTGAATGCTTAACTCCTACACTAGTCTTAACCATTGTATTTGTAGCCTGGAAATAAATACTCATTACTAAATACTAGCAACTTATTGCCAACACTGTTAAGTCTAACGTTTGAGAATCAACTGTATTACAGTGTTCTATCACTTCTTTATGTTTACATTCGTTGTAATAAAGTGCGCGCGCATGCGCATTTAGATAGTAAGGGGCATGCTCATTATCAGGAAAGTCAAAACTGAGTATTATTATGATAGATACGAACTTCTAGGTTAAAATAAAGAAAAGTGTATAATAATGTGTGAACCACACAATAACTGTTATATCCAGTGCTGACGAGGTCTTTCGTCAGTAACAGAACGTTTCAGACCAGCTGGAATACGACAGGCATAGTAGTGGTTGAGACGCTATTTATATTGTTGCGTCATCGATATCACGTGACTATTCTCACGCCCTCTACTTTCTAGAACTATCCTGTACTTTGGCGAATGCTCT